TGATACCTAAGGGAATTAGATATGTTGAGGGAATTCAAAAGGACAAGCAAACATGGAAGGGTCGTGAGCTCTAGATGAGATTCTAACATATGCTTCAGAGATTTATCCTAGAAATTAGGAACATTTCCTGGAAAAAGAAATATATATGTAGTAGACAGAACAAAGGTCCCCAAAGATGTCTGCATCCTTAGACTTTATTAATATGCCACCTTATGTAGCAAAAGAGACCTTGCAGATTAATTAAGTATCTTGCAATGGTAATACTACCCTGGATCACCCTACTGAGCCTAACTGAATCCTGTGGATTTTTTAAATCAAAAAAAAAAAAAAATTTCTTGGCTGTAATTAGAGAGAGATGTAACTATGGAAGAGTGGTCAGAAAGATACAACATTAGTTATTTGAAGATGGATGAAGGAGCCAGGAGTCAAGGAATTTTGGGAAGCTTCCAGAAGCTAGAAAATGCAAGGAAGTGGACACATTCCTAGAGCCTCCAGAAAGGAATGCAACCCTGCCAACACCTTTATTTTAATGCAGTAATACCCATGTTGGACTTCTATCATACGAAAGTGTATATAAATGTGCTTTTTCAAGCCACAAGTTTGTGCTCATTAGTTATAGTAGTAATAGAAATCCAACACAGTATATGTACCAAAACAGCAAAACAAACAAACAAACAAATTACTAGTGTTAAGTTGATTCTGATTCCTACCAATCCTATAGGATTGAGCAGAATGGATTTTGGGGGTTTTTGAGGCTATATATCTTTACAGAAGCAGACTGCCTGCCACATCTTTCTCTTGTGGAGCAAGGTTCAAATTACCAACCTTTCAGTTAAAAGCCCAATGCTTAATGCACTATTCCACCAGAGTGCCTTATACATACATGGCGTATGTTAATTTGTCATTGCCACAATAGAACACCAGTACTTTAACAAATTTGAACAAACTTGTGGTTTAAAACAACACATTTATTATCTTATAGTTCTGTAAGATAAAAATCCAACATGGGTATCGTATGCAATAAATATACACATTGGTTTTAAAGCAGAAAAAGTGTGCATCGAGGTTGTATCCTTTCACCATACTATTCAATCTGTATGTTGAGCAAATAACTTGAGACACTGGGCTATATGAAGAGGAATGCAGCCTCAGGATCAGAAGAAGATTCATTAACAAAACAAAATGCAGATGACCTAACCTTGTTTGCTGAAATTGAACAGGACTTTTTGAAGTACTTACTGATGAAAATCAAAGACTTCTGCATGGATTACAATTCAATGTAAAGAAAACAAAAATCCTCAAAACTGGACCAATACACAACATGATGATAAACAGAGAAAAGACTGAAGTTGTGAAGGATTTCATTTCACTTGGGTCCACAATCAATTCCCATGGAAGCAGTAGTTAAAAACAAAACAAAAAAAAAACCCTCAAAATTGCAATGGGCAAATTGCCTGCAAAAGACTCCTTTAAAGTATTGAAAACCTAAGTTGTCACTTTGAGGACTAAGGTATGTCTCACTCAAGTCATGGCCTTTTGTATCACCCTAGACTACAAAGCCATTTGAACTGCAAGGTAGGCAATTGAAAGTCACCAGCTGCTCCTTGGAAACCTTATACTGGGTTGCTATGGGTCAGAATTGACTCCACGGCACTTAACAACAACAACATATGCATACATGTGAAAATTAGGCAATGAGTAAGGGATACAGAAGAAGGACTGATAGTCTGAATTATACCTCTAAATTAGGGATTAGCCAAGAATATTTCATATACCAGAAGAACAAACAAATCTTTCATGGAAGAAATGCAACCAGATTGTTCCTTAGAAACGAAGATGTTAACACTTCATCTCACTTACTTGGAACGTGATATCAACACGGACTAATCCCTGGAGAAGAACATTACGGTCAACATAAAAGAGGAAGACTCTCAAACAAACGGACTGACACACAGCAGCAACAATGCTCTCAAAAATAACAATGAATGCGGGGAGGGCACATGACCAGGAAGCACTTTGTTCTGCTGTGTGTACGGTTGCCATGCATTGGAGCCAAGTGGCTAACACCTAATAACAACAATAAGATATAGATATAGAGATACGTGAATTTTTTCAAGAACATTAATTCTGATGCTCCGACACAAATCAAGGCTCTCTGAGCTAGAAAGAGTCCAAGACACGAGATCCTCTGAGAGCTATAAGCACAAAACGTTTTCTTCTTGGCATATGTGGAAAATCAATATCCTCCGCATACATGTTCATATTCAGCTCTGAAATCTCTCTTCTCCAAGGATGTACTGAGTCTCTGAAGACTGTGTGTTCCTTTGAGTTTTACATAAATGAACTGTGACCCTTTGACAATTCTTGCAGCAGAAAGATCTTTCGTCCCTTTGTCACAGCGTTCATTATATTGACAGCATTCTCCTCCTCTCCCCCCAAAAGGTGAAGATTTACACCTAATGTAGTTTTGCCTGGTTTCTTCCCTTTCTCTGAGTCACATGTAAGTCTGACATGTCTCTACCAAAATCCTATAGGGTGTAATCTTCCTGACGCTGGCCATATGCAGGCTGAAAATGGAAGAGGAATGTTATCAGGAATGTGAGCTACCTAATTCAAATTGTTTTTAGCCTCTGATCTCATTTCACCTGTTCATCAAATTTCACAATCCCTGTATATATTGGAAATGCATTTTTAAAGTTCCATTAGAATGTCCCTGGATGACTCCACCATATTTCTGGTAAATAACTATAGTATGAAGGCTATCAGTCCAATATAAATGCTAAATCTAACCGTATTAGACGTAGCCAACCTGACATCAGTCTTGCGATTTAACATCAGACCCTATCACTGCTGACATAGTGCACAGAATATTTTGTAATGCTGCCAGCTGAGGAAGCGAGAGCCTGTGAAAGTGGGACATGGAGGTTACAGGAAGAATTACAAGGTATATAGGATTCTATGGATGTTTGTTAAGGGGCAGAAGAAGAGAGATCACATCTGCTTTTGTGAGAAACACTAGCTGATCTACTGGGGACTGGAAAGAAATAGCAGCTTAATGAGGAAAGTCTACTCCATGACCCTGTATCTGGTTTCTTCCTTAACATGGTCCAGGAGCCTCCTGAAATTTTAAGCAGACTTTTCTGGTACGTGTGTTTTCTTTCCTGATAAAACTTGTCATACTCTCCAAAAATCTAAGTAAAGGTATAACCCACCCCCACCCCAAATTAAGAACTCGGCTCTATGTTACTCCATTGGCATCATCCCTATTTAATACCGTCAGAGCATAATTATTCATATGATAATGATTTCTATCAGAGAATGCTTACATTTCTGACTTGCCCTCTGACAATAAACAGTAAAAGTAGCCGTTCCCTTTGCAACCACAGATGGGACTTAAGGCAGCATTAACTTTAGCAAACATCAGCATCTTTGAGAAAGTGAATCACTAACACGTTGTTTTTATACCAGCTTCTATTCAATAGCCACCTCCAAAAGGACCACCATATATCTCACCTACATATATGAATGAGTTGTGTGTTTTACCAAGATGAAATATGTAAAATATAGTTGATTTTATTCTTGCTGGTAAAGGTAGTCATCAGGCAGAATATAGAGCGACTGCCTAAACTGATTCTCAAGCAAATCAAGCTCATTGTCATCAAGCCAATTACAACTCATAGCAACTCTATAAGACAGAGCACGGTTTCTGTGGCTTCCAAGACTGTGAATCATTATGAAAGTCAACATCTTTCTCCTAAAGTGCTGCTGTTGGTTTTGCTTAACCACTGAACCACCAGGGTTCCTTCAAACAGATCCCAGCCAACCTAAAATAACTTTATTACAAGAAGATCTCAACTAGGAGAATTTCCTGATCAACAGAGAAACGACAAAGTTGAGTCCAGCAGGTATTACTTGAGGCCAAGGAAGAATAAACAGATCAGAGAGGGCAACTTGAGAAGAAAACTACAAATATATCTATAAATCCAGTTGGAGAGTGGAAAACTTAAGCTTTAGGACCCCTTCCGCTTCCTTGGGGTTTTTTTTATTTTAAATTTAGTATGCTAAGCATTAAAACACAATTACATTACAATTCAATCTTCCTTAGAGTTGTTATTAACTTACAATGTGCCCACTAAGAAAACAATTTCTATACGTCACACTAAGAAGTCTAACATTCCCTTCACACCGAGCGAGGGCTATGACTGCATCTGTACACAAGATCCTACAAGAACAGCTGACACAACCAGGGCTAGAATTCTTTCTTCTGGTTATTTTCAGAAGAGACTCTCCACAGACAGCTGCACTGCCTGTCTCCCCTCAGAATGCCATGTCGGCCTTCTCGCAGGCAGCTTTCTACCCATGCCTTTTGCCCTGGCTCCAGAGCTGATTCCAGGAGGTCTAGTAGATCAGAGAGTCTGCCTGGGAGCTAGCTCTAAATCAGGACTTCATGGCTCCACTCGGGTCAGCACAGAAGCTGCACCTGCCATTGGTACGTTCAAATTCGGACTCAGTCTTTTTCTGCTGTGCAACATCAGGCAAGCAAGTTCAAGTTTCTCTGTCAGCCTCAGGCTTCTCCTTCAGAAAATGCGGCTGTGAGTACAAGTGTGAGGAGGAAGCTGTAAAGGCTCATTAGGTAAGAGACGGCAGGCACTTGGCATGATGGCTGGCGGTCATCTCTGTCATTATCACGAGGAAACCCCACTCGCCTCTAGCATAGACACACAGAGGGCAGGACGAATAAAGTTGGCCTGTTTCCCTCCCCTTTATGGGGATTTTATGGCTGAATGTCTGCACAACGAAGACAGAGAAATATGTTTTAGTTGTTTTTTGTTTTAATATTTCTCTTAAACTCAGACTCAGTGAGTCTCCTTCTGGGTTCCTGCAAATAGCTTCTCTGACAATAAGTTAATGCCAACCAAAGCTGGCAAGCCTGGACCCTTGTGTAGAGGTGGCAGGCACACCCATTAGCGTTTTAGTGAAATGAACCCCAGGCACAGCACCTTGGTTGAAGTCGCACTGTTTCTTGGCACCTGGAGGTGTTGTTTTGTGGATTCTCATGAGCTGGCGTGCCTGCTCTCCCCTGACACTCCGGCTGACCAGACACCACGTGCTCTGTCTCCTACAAGAAGCAACAACAGAAGTAGATGAGCTGTCAGCAGTGAACATTCCACAGGATTCTTCAGCTGCATGTGGGGTGAGTGCTTGCAGGGCCAGGAGTTAGCAGTATACATCACACTTCACTGACTGCACGGGGATCTGGAATTTAAAACACTTCGTTCTCTCAGTCAGTTGCTTTGAGATTAAAAATCAAAAGGTAGGACAAAAAACATTTTTAAACTAATTTCCAATAGAAATGGAAACGAGCTTAAAAATTAACATTCTAATGGTACAACCAATTCAGGGAACAATATGAAACTGTTAAAAATGTTGTTGAAGATTATTTACTTACAAGCTACATCTAAAAAGATACTTATTCTAATTGATAGAGCAATATCTATAGCATAAGCACATTTTTAAAAAACTGACCCTATGTACAAACACACAAATTGGGATGAGAGGAACCAAAATCTTCAGAGACGAACTCTGAAATAACATATCTTATTTGGCTTTATTCATTTATTTATTCGTTTTAGGGCTCATCTATATTTTCTTAATTTTCTACAATGACTATACATTACTCCTATAATAAGAATATGAATCTGAACATGGAGAAATCAATCATTTTTATAAATTCCAAGTCCCAAACATGCAAAAGCTCTCGTCTTCTCTTTCCCCTTCTCTTTCTGTTTGTCTTTCTCTGTCTCTTTGTCTCTCTCTCTCTCTCTCTCTCTCTCTCTCTCTCACACACACACACACACACACACACACACACACGGTACTGACATTAGCCACACTGCAACCAAAGAAACCATACAGAGGCCATCCCATAATGTAACCTACACATGAGTTTTATAAAACCTCCAGAATGCAAAACTCTCAAGAGACTATCATAAAAACAGCCAGGCTAAAAATAATCTGGATTCAATACAAGGACACATAGATCAAAAATGAAAGGTTTCTATAATATATAGCAGTTAAATTACTAGTCTCCAGCTGACAAGTTTTCCCTAGGATAAAACAGCCTCTGTTTACTTAACAACACAAACTGCCTGATAAATAAGATATTAAAACCCAAACTGCATCAATCCATCCAGATGAGGAATGTCATACAATGTATGCAGACGATGCAGCGGATCTGTGCATTATTTTGCTGTATCAATGGAGACTCAGCTCCTCTATTGCTACTGGGGGTTGAAGTCAGTAAAACTGCCAATGTGCCTCGTGTCTCAGAAGTCAAGTTTTCTAAACACTAGAATAAACTGTCAACAGTCATTTCAAGCCTCTAAAACAAAATTATATGGATGCCTTTCTGTCATGGTTGAATTGTTGTTGTTTTTGTTAAGTGCTGTCAAGTAGATTCCGATGCATAGCGACCCTGTATAGGGTTTCCAAGGAGCAGCTGGTGAGTTTGAGCCGCCAAACTTGCAGTTCAAACGGCTTTGCAGTCTGGTGCATTAAAACCCACAGCGCCACACCGGGACTCCAAGTTGAATGGAGTACCCCCAAAATATGTGTTGAATTCCTAACTTTTGCATTTTGTAAATATGGTCCTGGCAGAAAATAGAAGTTTTTCTTAATAAATATATGTTGTTGTTAAGTGCCTTCAAGCTGGTTCTGCTTTACAGAGACCCTGTATAAGGTTTCCAAGTAGCAGTTGTTGACCTTGCAGTTCAAACTGATCTTACAGCCCAGCACATTAACCCACAATACCATAGTGTTATATTACTATATTAATGAGATCAAAGCAGTATAAGGTGGATCCTAAACCTAATCATTTCTGGTTAATATAAAACACATAAACATATATAAAGACAACATATAAAAAAAGACATGTTTCTGTTACTACTACGTGTTGTCATATGGGTTCCAACTCATAGTGACCCTCTATAGGCTTTCCGAGGAGTTGCTGGTGAGCTTGATCTGCTGACCTTGCAGCTCAAACTGACATAAATTCCAAAGACTGCAGGTTATCTTAGGCTGAAACAGACAAAGTGAGATCACTCCCAAGAGCTATGCCCTGAATTCAGACTTTGTCTCCTAAACTGTGAGAAATTTCTGTTTTTTAAAGCCACCCATGGTATCTTTTATTTTTGAGTTGTTTTTTTTTTTTAAGGTTTTTATTGTGGATTGAATGAACGTCTACAGGGCAGATCATCAGTTTTACATTCAACAAATCATACCCCTTGTTTCATTACAATGATTATAATCCCCTATGAATCGGGCTGCCAACCTCAAGGCCAGCAGTTCGAAACTACCGGTGGTTCCATGGGAGAAAGATGAGATTTACATCTGCTCCTGTAAAGATTTACAGCCTTGGAAACCCTGTGCAGGGTCACTATGAGTCGGAATCGACTCCACGGTACTTAACAACATGTACCATCAGTTAATAGTATTTCTCTCTATTCATTTTAGCTCTTTTTTGTTTAAACACTCAGGCATATATAATAATTTACATCACCAAAGGACACATTCTGCAAGTCTGCCTCCTAGCCGCCATCTCTTAGTCCCTCTCTTTCCATGAATCTAGAGTCCTCACTTGCTCCTTCTCTCTAGGTCCCCGTCTCTGTTTCTATCTCTGGTGTTACTGCTTTTCTGGTTAACGGCTCGCATTCTGTTTGTGCTCTTTTCCCTTGATGGTCCTAGGGTCCTCTGTTTCTGGACTGTAGATTAACTACTCCCCCATTTTTGCTACAAAACTGCTACCTTTACAATTGTGACAGTTGCAATTAGTCATGATAACAATTATTCATAAGAATAATTGAATAATTGAATCTTAAGAATCTTTTCCCCATCTCTTTTAACCAGACCCATCTAGACAAGATGAAAACTATTCAATAGAGTCTCTTCCTTTCCCCACACACTATTAAACTAAACTCCCCCTTGAAACCTCATAAGCCAGTCACTTCATACCTTTATTGCCCCCTCATTTTAGGTAGCCATTGTCTAAGTTGCCCATTCCTATCTACTGTGTATATAGAGGGGATAGCATTGATACTTGATGTGGAGACTCCTTCCCTCTCTGTTGGTATTTATAGTTACTACCTCCATGAGTATAGGTCAAGTTCATCAAATTGTAGCAATTTACCTTTGTTTCCTTTATCAAAAATTGTTTTGTTCTTCTTTTTTTTTTTTAATCTTCCTCTAGTTGAGTTCTGATTATCAAGCCATCGAGGCTAGGTCAAGTGGGTACTGTCTGCAACTTTGGGTGTTCTTGTCCGACTCCTCTCACTTCATATCAGCTGGATGCTTCACTCTCAGCTCTAGCCCTCTGCGGCTAAGTCCTTGTCCATGGGCTCAGGTATCCCTAGGTCTCACCACACTTTGGACCAGCCAGCCCTTACTCTTTTCTCTCTCATCTCCATGTCAATGGGAATCTATGGAACGTGATAGAACTTAGCCCATTTCTGCATTGCTGCCTTTCCCCCTCTTCCACTCACCAGTAGACCAACATGGGCATCAACAAGCTTACATGCCTGCTCATGTGTTCCCTCTGACTTCCAGTCTTAGAGGGGGCATGGTATCTTTTTTTATGACTCCATCTCCAACCCCACTCCACTGCCATCGAGTTGGTTCTGACTTACTGTGACCCTACAACACAGATAGAACTGCTCCTTGGGGTTTCTGAGACTACCATCTTCACGAACAGTTTCATCTCTCGCCCACAGAGCAGTGACAGCACTAGGTAATTAAGATGCTTCCTGATTAAAAACGAGAGGAGAGAGAATGGAAAGAAGGAGTAGAACTAAAGGAAAAGAATAAATTGGGCCTACCAAGAGCCATCCTTTGATGCCATTTTCTCCAGTATACAGTTTGAAGTAAAAATACACTTCACATGACAACGTCTCACTAATACATGATAGCTCCCTACCCTTATGAAAAATTCTATAGAAAACCAAACTTTCAAGTTCCCGTAAATGATTTCTAAATTAAACAGTCCTATTCTGCTACTTGTCAGGCATGTAAGCATGGGTATGCTCCATGTGTTAGGTGGGCTGAAATTTCCTTGTCTATAAAATAGGAAGAATATCACCAACCTCTCAAGATGTCATTAGTACCTCTTTTGATGACTGTTGGCTACAGGCACACAGTGGATAGTACCTATTTATACTAAATAATCCAACAAATTTAGTAGTCTGTAACTGGTGGTGGTTATGTGCATGGAGTCGGTTCCAACTCATAGTGACCCTAGGATTTCCAAGGTTTTAAATCTTTATGAGAGCAGAAAGCCTCATCTTTTTCCTGCTGGTAGATGAAAACTGCTGGCCGTGAGATTAGCAGCACAACTCGTAACCACTTCTCAGCCAGAGCTTCTTAGTGTGGAACTAGTGCTAAGGAAATCCTTGGAGATTTAACTCAAATAAGTTCAGCAAAAGAAAGCCTATTTTTGTGGTGGAAGGCTTGTTCTGGGTTTCTATACTAATAATGATATTATTTAAATATCATATTGAGAAGCCTCAATATTTGTAGGCTTTAAGAAATTGCCTTTCTGCTTGTAAGCCCATCTTCAGCTTATAACTCACTGGAATATCTAAAAGGGCTTCTAGAACTAGCCTGGTGAAATAGGCTTCTTTTGGAGCCTTTGTAGTGTATAAGACTATTGGTGGAATCCTGAGCCCCTTAACCTTCTGAGGTAGGGCATTCCCACTTGAAAGGACAGGCAGACAAGCCTGGAAAAGCTAGAGGAACAGAAGATAGTTCTTGAAAGAAAGACCAGCAGGAAAAACTCAAAACAAAAATGGCGGTCTGATTGGCTACTACAAGAACAAGCAAGTTGTTTGCCAGGGAACCATCAAGGCAAGCAATCAAGTGCCTTCAGGACAAACCCCTCTTCAATACTGAAACTCAAAGGGAACATATGAGCAGGCATGTAAGATTTCTGGTGACCACGTTGGTCAACTGGTGAATGGAAGATGGGGAAAGGCAGCAATGAAGATCTGGGCTGAGTTCAATCACATTCCATAGATTCCCATTGACCTGGAGATGAGAGAGAGAAGAGGAAGGGATGGTTGGTCCAAAGTG